TGCACATAGTATTGTAATATTATTATTATTATGCCGTCCCGTATACCCGCGTGTGTTATGTCACGGTACGGAAGAAAAGGGCGTCCAGAAACTGTATACCTATATGTACAGCCGGTTTTCAATTAGCATTGTTTTTGAAGAGCTTTGTGCTGCGGAGTACACCGACCGCGGTATATCCCACGATACCACAGTTTATATACCTATATATTTTATATAATGTATGTATGCTTATTGCTTACCGTCATACGACGGGCATTATAATCGCGCAAATATATGTATATATAATATAGCGGGAACAACGGCGCGGTTTGCGCATTGTTTGTTTTAAATCGTCGACCTGCGACGACGACGACAACAGTGCGGGGTAAACACTCCGATGGGGGGAGGGGGTATTCGGTCTAGGGTCGTGATCCCTTTTGGAAATCGGCGAACAAATATTTGCCCCCGTGGGAAACCGGACAGATGACGGCGATGATATGTTCGGGTCCGTATATACGATATATATCATTATGAAGCTTGATGGCTGGTGTTCGACAGGTCGAGAGTCGGTGTGACTGTTGTGTACACATGCACATACATACACACACACATAGTATATACATAAACAATAAACATATCCGCTGCGGGCTGTGCCGGACGTCAGTTGAAACGACGTCATCATAATCGCGAAATCCTGCAGTCCGACGGTTTTATAGCTGCGACCATATTATACTGTGATGGTGTTATACAGAAATGCGTATGTTTCATTACCGTGTATCATAGTTTCGGACAGTTTCTTCGGTGATGTTATATTATAGCCCATGTATCCCCAATTCGAGCGTGTAGAGTGCTGCAGGGTTGTTACGTAAATCAATTCATTAGATGTCGCAAGAACATACTAATGGCAGCTCTGATGAACATTAAAGTGTATTGTGCGATGTTTTGTATTTTATAGTGTTTTTAATGTTAAAACACAAAAGATAGAATTATGTTGTTTTTCAAAAATTAAAATGCACATTACTAACCCAACATATATTATCATATTTGTTTTAACCGTCATCGGGTTTCTCGTTTCTATAATTTCTGCGTTCGAAAGTAGGAACAAAATATAAATGATTTGATATAGTAATAAATTGATGCCTAATAATTTTCGACCAATTTTGTAAATGTATACTAGCTGTAATAAAAATATATTAAACTATAATATGTAAGTGTTATTAGGCGTGTTTCGATGGCGGGCACTGAGAAGATTCGTTTGTGGTGTTCAAAGTGTGAGTCATTGTATTCGATTAATCATTACATTTATAAAAGAGTAAAAACGTTAGTGTTCTTAAACTCTATTGAAATGTCAAAACGTTTCTAACCTCCTCGCCGACCATATTATAATATATACTATGTAATATTATATATTATGATATTGCTTGTACAGTCGTACGTGGTGTGTTGGAATATTGTAAAAAGGGAAACAAATGTATTATTATGTTAATAATCGACGTTCGTTATTTAACAGCGGAATCGGCTTTTCTCGAGACGTCACGCATCGCCCAAAAGATGTCTTCGTCACGCGTGAATGACCTCTGCTAGACGCGTTTTCAACAATCGACAGTAATATTATTTTCCGGTTTCAATTTAAAAAATCCAACTGAAAATTCCCACTCCCCATTTACTTCCTAATCATGTACCTACTAACATTACAGGTAGTGACAATCAACTCCTCTCCAACCTCTCACTTTGGTATATCTTGTTTCTACAAACTTTATAATTTGTCCACTTATTTCTTTATCAACTTCCGGTTAAAATAAAATGAACCCGAAATAACTAAAAGAACCGGAGTATAAAAATACATTTTGATTTATATTCTTATTACAATTTACAGCAGTATCATAATAAATATACCTACTGAATTCGTGTTTTATTACGATTTATATTTTCATCAAATACAACTGTAGTTATCTCATTTCAACTGTAAATTGTTGAGCTGTGATCAAACCAAAGTTAATTTAAAATTATAAATCTATACATTTACGATAAAGTGAACAAGACACTCAAAATTATGGACTAGCCGACTCGATATGTTATTATATGTATGTCTGATTGTCCTCTAAGAAACTACCCAAGTTCTCTGACTTTTTTTTGTTGTAAAAATGCGCCTCGAAAATCAAAAAAGAATTTTAAAATAATGTTTGGTCTCTCCTGCTTCCTCGATGATCATTGTGTAGTTTCCACCTATATTCTCGAACACTCGTCCTCTGTAATCATAAAATAGATTTCCTATAATTATAATTCCTAATTAGATGTATGTATTGCATTTGCGGAGGGTGGGGGAAGAAATTGAAAACAATTACACTAAAATAAAACACCTGACGCTCTGCACGGTTGACGTATTATATATTCATCACCCGCTGAGTGCTCGTCTTGGCGGTGGCGGCGGTGGTGGTTTATAATAATATGTGCGTTGATATTGTTCACGTTTATTGCGCGTTTCGTATATTATATGTATATATATTTATTTATAATATAACATATGTGTGTTTGTGTATGTGTGCGTATATATATATTGTAGGAGGTTTGCCCGCGGGATAACGGTCGCATGTATAGATACTATATATTATTTATATGTATAGGACTATATATATATACATATACATATATATATATTTATTAAAGTGTGAGAACGACACGAGGATCGGGGTTTTCGGTGACGGGACAAGGGAGGGGGTTTGGAGGTTAAGTTTCGTCTGGTATTATTTATAACTCGGCAATATTGATCTCCATCACTCCTCTTGACAGCCCGGTTGGCGGGTGCCCCGGTATAGAAATTAATATCGGCGGTGTCGCCCCCCTCCCCTCCCAGCCCACTCATTCAACCATCCACACACACACACAGTACCACCGCCACCTTCGGCGCGCGGGCGTTCTGTCTTTGGTCGGCGGCGTTCGCCCTCTTTTCCGCCACCGCCGCCGACACCACGGTCTCTATCCCGGGTCCAATCTCGCCTCGCCCTACGACGACGGCGGCGGCGGCGGCGGCACCCGTAACGGGCTTCTCCTGGTGGCTTATGTGTGTTTATAAACGCGTAGTGTTTTGTGTATTATACACACGAACGCATACACAAAGTTGGACCCGAAAAGCTTAAAGTTTAATAGGAATGCGCTTTCGGCCGAGTATTAAAACTGGGTATATATACACCACCATACGTGTGTGCGCAAGCCGCCCTCTACCGCCGGCCACCCCCTCGCAACCCCACTGCAACCGCCGCTGGCTCCCGTGTTTATTAACAGTATATATACTCCCGCCGCCGTACACACATGTATACATATATAACACTAAATAATATTATTCATCACACACATACACACACAAACAGGCACACAAATACGTAGTTCGCGTATACGACGATATGCACCTATACCTATATAATATGTGTGGACCAGTGTGAGAGTACCTATACATATATATAGATATATATATATGAGGGTGTATAATATATAGAGTGTACAAGTGTAGGGGAATTTTTTTTTTTCCACTACTCGGCTATGGCACGTGCAAGCGTGTGTGGGTTTTACCACCGTGCGTATGAGTTTTTAATCCTTAGGATTATATTTTATACATATAGGTAGGTACGTGTATCAAGAAAATACTCGTATGCCCCAGTAGTAAACGACGGGGAGGAGTGGAAAAACCTATGCTGAAAACACATACTCGCGTCTCGCTCTATATATAACATAATATAATATACTATATAGTATATATAGTTACTCTAGTTTCGTCGTTCTGTGCGCCGCGTGTACGGACTCGTAATTCAAAACATAATTAACCTAATACAGTTGAGGAATATTGGGCGTGTGAATTCATACGCACATCGTGTGTCTGTGTAATTATAACTTGCCACAGTATAAATACAATAGCTTATAATTTTCAATCAGCTCGTATATATTTGTACACCGTTATTATCACGAATGCGCTGTTTTGATTTGGGGTCCAGTCCTATACAAAATCCTGTTTCATACATGTAAAATAAGGTATATATATTATCAAAATTTTTATATATGAAATATGAGTATAACATTTTTCAAGTACAAAAAAGATAATTTACCTATAATACCTGTACAGGGTATACATGTATATATTATACTCATATCATATCATACACATCATCGTATATTGTACGATATAAACAAATAAAGCCGCTGAAAAGAGGCACAATACAATTCATATGCTTATACAAAAATACATCCTGTCAGTTAATCCATGCCATAATAAAGGAGTAACATGAAACGGAAACAAACCTTGAATCACTTATTTTAAATAAATAAACAAAGAATTGCAATTTGTTTTTCCATTAGTTTATTTTTCGACTGTCTAGACTTAAAAAGATAATTACGATTATTGTTTGAAAATTGTTTTAAGACCAATCGCATCTAATTATTGATAATTTTAATTAAAGTAGTTTAGATAAACAAATACGATTTTAAATAATGTAATTGTACACTTGACTTAAATTATTATAATAATAGGTATAGAATTCAGTATTATATAGCTGCAGTCAGTCCATTATCTTCAGTCGATTAATTTGTCAAATATAGCTTGACATTAAAATTATTTATACAATTCTTTAACACGTAATAGCTTGAACCTTTTTAAAAAAAAAAAACTTAAAGTATAAAAATATAAGTAAATGTCACAATTTTAATCCTAAGCAAAGAATAATATTTAATTAGTTTTTACTTGCATGAGTTAAAATAATTAAAATAATATATATTTAAAGATATCACATGATATAATCATATATTCATCGCGTATATGGCAGTCAAAAGTTGAGTACCTACTGTTGTTTATATTAAAACAAACCAATTACTCTCGAATACAATACCTATTTTCACAGAAACTACAAAATTGATACATGTATTTCATAGATAGGTGGTCTATCCGAAAGAACCGATGTCGCCAATATCGATGCTGTATATTCAATGACAAAATATTTTAAGCATATTTATTAACTGTACGTTTCCTTTTGCAGGTGAATGCGAGTTTCCTGCCCAATGGTCCGGTCGATGGTTTCAATCTGGCGTGAACCATTACATCAATATAAATACGACCACCATCACAACCAAAGGAGATTGCGTTCAAAACGTTAGTGACAAGTTTCTGATCGAAGACAGGTATAACGATGTTTATTTTGCTATTAACATTGAGTGTGATTGGCACCTGTAACTGTAAGGTTGTTTTACTATTATATAAGTAGACATTTAAACACGGTACAAAGTGCACACCTAGCTTGTGCGATGCGACAACATTGCGAACCGTTGGCACAATTGTAGGCGATCTGAAAGATAGGGATATATCGATCGTGTGGTTTGTCATTCTGTCCATTACGCAGATGTTATCGGCAACCATCGTCATTTAACAACGTTTATTCGCCCGTGTTAATGTACAAAGTGCATATAACAGAAGAGGAAACCCATTTTGGAAACGGATTCAGTGAATAGGGGAAAATATATTTGTCCATAAATTTGGTACCTATAGTTCAAAATATCCATTAACTTAAGAAATATAAATTTATATTCCAATAAAACTATTAAGTACCTACACATTTTTCACGATACTATATTAGAACATATAAATTACTAGGTATAGTTTCATATAATTTTTAAAAATAATTGATGGAATTATGTGTTCAATTATTAAATGCAAATTGTTTTTTGATGTTTGACTTGTTTGGTTTTTATTAGGTTGTAAAAATCGGGGAGTTTTTTTGCCACACCATGTGTGTACATAATATATTATACGTTTCTATATCTTTAAAACCACTAAATTATATGTGTTTTGGCGCATTTGATTCTGTCGTTTAAACTGAACTACCAAAACTATTGCACATTAACTAATCAGAATCTTTGGCCTATAATAATATTATGTATTTTATTATTACGAGTAGGTACATAACCTATACCTATAACCTACGACCTTACGGCAGTAATGTGCAATTTTGTTTATTCGCCTATAGTTACAAATAAACAATAAATGAGGCTTGAACAATCTGCATATGTCTATATTTGAATTTAAATTTAAAAGATATTGTGAGGATTAATAATTCGTTTAATTTTTTTATATTATACGAATACAACACTAAGATTGCAGTTGATTTGGATTTTTATATTTTGAGAACCCGTTGTTTATTATGTCTGAGCCAATACAAATGAAATATATGGAACCCATAATGTTTATCTAAGTTTTGTAGAGAAAAATATGGCTCGAGGGACCCCGGGCGTATCCTATTTCCTATATACATCATCAGGTCTCCAAAATTCATCATCTTCCTCTCTACCTCCTCGTCCCCTGACCCCTGGCGATGATACCGTCGCCGATAGCACAGCTGACCGGTATTTCGCTACAGGCCCACGTATACATAGATATAAGTACACAGATATTCATATTTATGTATATCGGTCTTTATTTATATACATATATTATACATTATACACATGTATTACCGTCGGTACACTGTTCAGTGGTGGCTAACCCGGCTATTAATCATCATATCGTCCGCATGTTGTTTTACATTATTCAGTGCAGTGTCCGCGTATGTGTAATGTGTATACCTATAAACCTACGTAGGAAAAAATAAAAACCAACGACTCGCACAATTGGAATAAATTACCGGGTGGCCGAGGGAAAACGAGTGACGAGAACAAAAGTGACCCGTGGCGGCGGGTGGGAAATGGTGCAGTGCACATGACAGGTCGAATAAAAGTGGACGGCAAAACTATTGTTTCGAGCTCGTAATGTTGAGTTTTAATATTTATATAAAATATAATACATAATATTATAATATAAACGCCAAGCATTCAGAATAGCCCTCGATCCGCACCTTTTTGTTTCGGGTGGCGATGCCTAGCTATGCCGTTGGTAGACCGAACGCGTCATATTTATTACACGTTACCCTCCGCTTTTGGGACAATATTGTCGTCTCGTCGACCGGTTAATTATTATTATTTTATTATTAGCGTACCCCTCCGACATTTCCCCCTCTTGTATAATATGTATGTACCACGCAGCAGTATTCAGGAGTCATATATATATATTATATTATATAATATGCTATATAGTTGTCGCCGTCGTCACTCGGTGAAAGTCTCTTTTGTGTCGGTCGGGGCTCTTCCAACACTACTCGAATATATTACATTTGGAAATAGAACCTGCGACAAAAGCGTGGTGTTATTTTTTCCGCACATTTGTACCTACTACCACGTTGACGGAGGACCCTCAATAGGCTGAAGTCTCGGTAGTGTTTAATACAGAATAATGACAAAGGTGACTGTATTTTTATTATTATATTAATTTCCTATACAATTCAAACTCGTGTACGATCCGATAAAATATATGTATAATATACAACCCATACTGGGGGACTTAGAAATATTCAAAATATTGTTTTAACGAGTAAAAATAAAGAAATTGTTAGGGATTCTATGGAAGTAAAATTAAATGCATGAAAAGACCATTGCTGTTTGTACATTGTTTTCTCAACCATTACATAATATTAGCATATACAATAGCCAGTTCCGGGTACTTGATTGTGTTTTATTAAATGACGATTTGTTTTGTTGTATAATAATATCATCAGCACAGTTTATGAGGATGCTTACACACATTATGATTTTATATTTTCAAAACCAATTTTCACTGATCCAAATATTAATGTTTAAATAATTTATTATCAGATAAATTGTATACATTTCATACATATATAATATGTGGTATTGAAACCTGAAATTGTTATAATTTTATTTTTATGAAGACTATATTTCAAACCGACCAAACTACATTTTGAATACTGATGTTGTACTGGTGTATTCTTTGAATCTCCATATGACAATATTTTTAAAATACCTATTGTTCTATATTCCACTGAATAAGTGTTTTTTTATAGTTCTATACATAATATTCGACTACATTCAAACAATTTTAAATTAAACTCGTATTGCCATTTAACGCTCACATAATAATTTTGCTTAAATTGATAATTTCAGTGTAATTATATGAAATGTAATCTACATATCTTAATCCATCGTAACTTTTATTTATTTACGTCTGCGTAAAATGCGAGTTTATCAATAATTACAACCTGAATGAATATGTATCACAAAACAATAACCAAATCGTTTATCAATATTTTTAATTGGTATTATAAATAAAATGTATTGGATAATTAATTACGAAATTATGATTTATTTGCTTATTTTTTTAAATATTAATGTTTATAATATACATACAAAATTAAAAAACCTTTGATAAACTATTTAATTTGATTTTAGCCATAACTATAAATTAATACGTATTTAATAAAGAAATTATTTCGACAAAATATTAATGCCTGTAATATGTTATTTCTGATGAGTACAAAAATTAATTTTTTTTTATTATTCACTAATATAATTCAATCAAAAATGATTACATACTTATGTCACTCGTTCATTGTTGATTACATAGTTATAAGTGAAGACTTTTATAAACAATTTAAGGTGGAAATATAAACTTTTTTATACAAGTACGCGTTAAGAATTTTAAATATATTGGCCAACACAATAACCTCTGACCTATTTTTGTCATAATAGTCACTTTTCTTATCAAAAGGTCACTTGAACGTGCGTATACACGTCCAGCAGCCTTAATTTGTGATACTTGCCTCTTAGAAAATTCGAGTGCACTTATTTAGAAGAAACCATTGATTCCTGAGCTTTTCTACACTTTGGTATTCGTTTTGTCTTTGCATTACATTATTTCCCAAAAGAAAATCATCGTAAAACTCCGTAGCAATCTTTTTAGTCCATAGAAGGGTGTCTTTGATTCTAGTTTTTGAATCCATTGGTATTATTCGTTTTATTTCTAAAGTATACTTATAAAATGTATGTGTACTAAGACATGTGTCAAATTGACAATATGTTTCATACTTTAAACCAGCTGGTCCCGTCTATTCACAAACATATTGTGAATTCAACAATCGTTGTCTTTATTGAATTTGAATTGTTATTGTGAAGCTATAGGTTATTTCTTTTCTTCGTTATCTGATACAGACAACTGGATTCCAAATAAAGTGTTGATACGTAACAACAACAAAAATCACTTTTCTTTTAATTCAATTTACACAAGAATAAAATAAAAGTATGAACCTACCTATAATTTAAACCTGCGATATAATTTAAACCCACGATATTACATTTTCAAATTTTTGGACAAGTAAAGTGTACTAATTAATGTTTTTTTTCAGTTGACTAGCTACTTGTTGAATGAATAAATTAAAATATAAATAAGTGACATTTTAAACAGTTTATTTTAATCTGAATAGGTGCAACCCAATACTCAATATTTTACAATTTATTATAATGGTAGGTATATTAAACATTATATATTCCTAAAAAAATAGTATTGTGTTGAGGATTAATATAGTCGATTTAGTTACTCAATTATTTCATCATTGTGTTTCATTAACACAAACGTTTTAATTTTAATAGGACATAATATTTCAACATACAAATTTGTTTATTTTGAACTGAAAACAAAAATCAAATCTGTTATTGCCATTATTTTTAAAGAGCTGAAATCAAAAAGTTTTGACTAGTAGAGGCGTAGAGGATATAAAGAAAAATAACTAACCATTGCTAGAGTAAACCTTGTCGACGGGTGGTATATATCGCGTCAAAAACTAAAAAAAAAACTCCAACGCTATTTCTTTTGGCTCTGCATGCACGTGAAACTGACTGTCAGTGGCCGAATGTATTCTGAAGGTTATTAAACCCTCTTCGCCACTCCTCGTAAAGTAATACACCCTTCGACCGAAAAAAAAACATGGTAAAGCTTACGCGTGCACAGAAATGCCATTAATGGAAGGTCATTTCTGAGGTGAAAAAAACTTCAAAGGTTCCTACGTAAGTTCATTTGCACACGGTAGCCAATGTTATTGCGATGTGGGGAAAGAGAGAAGTAGTCGGTAAAATGAGATCCTTTTTCTGGCTACAAGTTGAAATACATATTCGATGTTTCAAATATGACGGTACGTAGTTTGTTTGTTTCTTCTTTTTGAGATATACGTTGGATATTGACTTAATATAGAGTCACTGAAGAGAAACTTTTACATTTTTAATACATTGATATAACTATGAAA